CTGATTTGGCACAACACTTTGCGTAGCGATTATTTTGTGATGCTGCAAAACTTCCAAGATAGTACTTTTGTTTTCACGTTTGAAGACACGAATAAGTGTAAAGCTCTTCCTCTTAGGGAGGTTCGGTTTGCTTTAATATCTGCTTCTTGAAAATAGAAACTGTATTCTCATCAAATACTGTTTCACCTTTATAACAAATTATTTAAAAAAAAACAAAATTTTAAAGAAATTTTAAAAAATTCCAAAATAAGAGCTTTTTGGTTTTTTTAAAAAAAACACACTAACTTTTTAAAAGAGTTATTTTTTTTCAAAAAAATCTTTTCTTAAAAAATACCTTCTCCTTCTCTCTATCTCTATCGATCTCCTTCTTTTCTCCCTACATTCAAATATTATTTCTTTTTTTTCTTTAGATTTTGTTTTTTATTTTATTTTCTATCATTTTTTTTACTTTAAAAACTCTTTTCATTATTTGATATTTTTTAGTTTATTGTTTGATATGACAATTATGTGATGTTTATTTGTTCTTAATTTTTTTTATGTATATAATATTTGTTGACTATAATTAATCAAATAAGTCAATGATTATTGAGATAAATTAGATAAAAATTAAAAAATCAATATTTATACTCGTTTGTGGTAACTCAATTTTAAAATTTTTTTTTAAAAATATAACAATATGCTACACTATAAGAAAATTGAAATAAACTTTAATTCTTTTAATAACATGAATTGCCGAATCCCTTTCACATTTTCCCTTTCATATTTTAGCTATACCAACAAATGATATCGCACTCTTTAAGAAAATAAATAATTCATTAAAAAATGAAAAAAAAATACAAAAGCCAAAACTTTTTTGTTCAACGGAACTTTGTTAGTGAGGACATTAAGACAACACTTTAATAGACTTGCATTGAATTAGTGTTCATGATTTCAATAAGAAAATGAGTTGTCAAATCAATAGCTAAAGGTGATTTTCTTGACCCAATTGGATTCATTATTTATACTATCTTGGATTTTGTTGAAACATCAATTTTATTCAGCTCCAAAGATCATAAATTTCAAGTTAATTTTTAAAAAATAATAATAAATATCTTTTTATATTCTTCTTTTTATCTTTCAACAATTTATAATATTACAAGGGAAATTATATTTTTTTCACACTCATCTTTTTTAATTTGATTCAATTTTTTTCTCTTCCTTTATTAAATACCCTTTATAGTCATTTAATCAAAATTAAAATTTATATAAATTTTTTTACCAAATAACTTTTCTATAAAAAAATTTTATAAAAAGTAAATTTACTAAAAAATTTTAATTTAATTTTAAAAATTATTATTTTTAATAAAAATTTTATAATAATTTTTAAATTAAAAAAAAACTAGACCAAGCATGCTCTTACTCTACTACGAGGAGGAAAGAAGAAAGTGTAAAACTCTCAACTAAGCTTTCCTTAACTATCTCACTCATTTGGTCTAAAAGGCCTCACTAATAACTGCCTCAGGTCCACATTGAACCATTCTCCTGTAGTTTAATCATATTATATGAGGGACAGATAAAGGGCGGAGCCTCCTTTCTTTCATGGCTCCAAAATTTGTAAAAATTTTGTAGAATTTTAAAAATTTTTTATATATTCCTTAACACCCTCTCAAAATGATTTTTATCTAATAATTAATTTAAATAAATAATAATAAAATAAACTCACATGCCTCACTCAATTTTTATTTTTTTTATTTTTTTCTTTTAATTTATATTATTATTTTTACATATTTGACAAAAGGAATCCAAATCTTATTTTTTTGGAGAAAGAGATCATTCACTAACCAATGAACCAAATATTCGAATGCATATTATTATTTTATTTATATTTGTTTATTTGTTTATTTTTATTTTATTTTTTCATATATATGTTCTAAATTTTTATAAATTTTCTTCTTTAAATTTCTACAAAGCATCAACAATATTTTTTTCTTTTTCATTATGTCATATGTGGGTTTTATTTTTAACTTGTCATGTTCTTCTTTTTTTGGTTATATGAATTTTATTTTTTATGGTTTTAATTTTTAAAAATTAATAAATTATTAGGTAGTTGTTAAATATAAGTAATAATATTGTATTGTTGTTTAAAATTTCATCAATGTATCATTTTTTTTATTAATTCTAATTATGTAAGAGAAAATTATCTTAAATATATATTTTTTTATATGTTTTACGTTTTATATTTAATTAAAAAAAAATTATCTCGAATATATAACCTTAAACAATCCTGATCATATAAGAAGAAATTATTAATCTTATATATCGTATTTAAATATTTATATTTTATGCATTTTAATTTTATATTTAATATTTTAAGTTTAAGTAAAATAAAATAAGAATATTGAAAGTTGATGGCATTAATTTTTTTAAAAGTTTGATTAAAGTATGGGTAAGTTGAAAATAATTGATAAAAGAATGCAAATCATTCACGTGATTCTCCTATACTTAAGCCATTAAACCTCAATACTTTAACTTATAAACAAGAGTAATGTGAATCAAAACATCTAACACCCAATCCTAAAGAATGAATGCTTTATACATAATTAATAATTAATGAATTTGAATCCAAAAAAAACTATCGAGTACAACTTTCTTAAAAAACTGTTGTAAGTCTTTTTTTTTTCTTGATTAACATGTTATATAAAAATAATTATTTTTTATTATCAGTTTTTTTATTATTGATTAAGTTCAACGTTAATTTTTTAAAATTTTAACCCTTATTCTTGTATCTTTTGCCTCCTCAACAAAAATTGATTAACTCCGTCCCTCAGTTATATTAGACAATAAGATGATGAATAAGTCCAAAGATGATTTGATTAAGCAAGGAACAAAGGTCCCTGATCCAAGAAGAAATGAAAGTGCAATAGATTGGACTAGACATAAAGAAAAGAATAAAACGCAGAGTTTCACTTAAGGAGCAAAACTCATCATATCACTTAGAGGAAATAGTCTAAGTCCTTTGACCCTTGTTAAGGCCATTGGTTAGTCAATTCAAATATTAGTTAAGTTAGGATCCATTTGTTTTGACATAAAATACTTTTCAGAAAATGTTTTCAAGACTTATACTTGTTTGGAAAATGAAAATTTATTTTAAATGTAAAATATTTTACAAAT